TAGATAGATAGATAGATAGATAGATAGAGAGAGAGAGAGAGAGAGAGAGAGAGAGAGAGAGAAAGAGAGGGAGAGAAGGAGAAGAGAATCTGCATCTATAATTATGCACTTACATCATGTACAAAAGCTTATATTACAAAGACCACTGAAGCTAATAAATCACAAATAGAGATCGACCTGAGCTGGGCATACCCCAACTTTGAAATGAAATAAAAACTAAAACCCCCTCCACCGGAAAAAGTAGATCTAGGCCACCACCGATAAGATATGCATCCGTGGACAAAATTCCCCACCGACAGTAAAGGGTGAGCGTGAGGGGAAGAAGAAAGGACGGGCCCACGGCTTCAGTCGCTCACGCTGAAAGCCCCCCAGTGATAAAAAGGGAGTCAGGCCAAATAAACAAGTAAAGCTTTGCGATGCCAGAAAACGCTAACCGTCAGCTCCGAGAAACACTATAAAGTTACGATTGTACATCTCGCTTGTGTGTGCCAGTTGTCAGTGCGGCTTTACAAAAAAGAATCGAGACCGGTGAATGTGATAGTTGTTTCTCCAGCCAGCCGACAAAAAAGTTTCGGTAGACATTATACTTCTTTGACGCGTCTTGACGTCTTGATTTGCGTTCTATTTGTTTGCAATTTGTCTTGTATCGAAGGTCAACAAGGTGGCTAGAGCCGGGTACACTTGCCAAGAATCACTAGGGAGAATCTCAATTGTGTGGTCTTCTTTATCTGGGCTTTGGTACAATATGTATTTTCGTAACTTTTACGCACCTGCCCACGGTGTTTCCATTCTCTTTGGGAATAAAGGGGAAAAAATTGAACAAACAGTGATGTATATACATTATTTCGTTTTACTTTAGTCTCAATTTCTCTGTTTCTAAAATCCTCATCCTCCTGTGCACTCTCTTTCTCTCAGTCGGTCTCTTATCTCGTCCTTCTCTCAATCCTTTCTACTTTTAGATCCCTTTAGAAGAGAGAGGGAGAGAGAAAGAGACATGTGTCTGTGCGCGTGCGTGTGCGTGTGTGTGTGTGTGGGTGGGTGGGTGTGTGTGCGTGAGAGAGAGAGAGACACAGAGAGAGACACAGAGAGAGAGAAATAGAGAGAGAGAGAGAGAGAGAGAGAGAGAGAGAGAGACAGAGAGAGACAGAGAGAGAGACAGAGAGAGACAGAGAGAGAGAGAGACAGACAGAGGGAAAGGGTTGTGTACAGACATAGTGAAAGCAGAACGGAGGAAGCTGTACAGCATCGGACACATAAGAGAGCCCAGGAAAAGCACTACGTGCAGTGATGAGACACACTGGTACGGGCCAAAGCAAAATATCTTACCTTTGATATAGATCATTGCCCTGTAAGAATAGGCCACGCCATGCTCGTTCTCCGCCACACACTCGTACGTCGCCTCGTCCGACTCCTGGCTGTTGAGGATCTGAAGGTAACCTGAAAATAGAAGAAAAAATATAAAGAGGTTTGGGGGTTAGGTCCAGTATAAACATCTTCAACAAATCATCTCTTCGTTCATAGTAGTTATATAGAACTGTAGACGTTTAGATCATTTACGAGACAGGCTACTTCCATCCTGCCTATCAGGGCCAATCCGGGCTGAGATGGGTACAACACCCCAGCAGACAGACGAAGATACTCGATTTAAACAAAAATCCCAAAATGTGTATCGAACTCCCATCTTTTACTTTCAACTAAGAAGCACCTTGCAGCTACACCACAGACGCCGGTATTGCTGTGTCAAAGACATTGAGGGGGAAAAGTAAACATGAAAAAGACTAAAAGCCAGGACCCCTCTGCACAGGAGCTAGGGGAAAATGCCCGGTTCTAAATAGGACTCTCCAATCAATCAAAGCCTTGTCTTACCTAGGAGAAAACACCCGTACTGCGAGCCACCGTGTCAAGAACGTGCATGGCAACAGACATTGAAACCTTGACATGACAAGCGTAAACTGGCGCCGTGAGGTAAACGTTAGGCTCTTGGCTCTGCGCCCAAGAGACGTGAGCATGATTTCAAATCGGAGATGAAAATATTTTATCGACTAATTCCGTCTTTTCCCTGAGAGAATAACGCTATAAGCACTCGACCTTCGAATGAGAAGATGGCACAAACTGATCACTTCATTAGATGATCAATATGTCTCTTAACTCTTTCGTGCATGCATACTCTTGTACACAATGGGAGGCTCGAAGCAACCCGCTTCCTAAAGGATCTCAAATTTGTGAAAAAGAACAACACACTAGCCCCAGACTAAGGAACGGAGAAATAGAGAATTGCCCATCGTGAATCCCTGCAGTACAACTCACCCACCCACACACACGCACGCACACTCACATTTACATGCACATAAATTTACTTTTTTTTAAAAATACTAAAAATATTTTTAAACAACAAACAGACAAACAAACAAATAAGTTACTCCCAAAAAGGAAGAAGGAATCGACAGAAAATGAATACTCTCCCCACCCCCCACCCCCTTCCTTTTCCCCATTCCAACTATTTACACGCAATAATAACACACTGTGTACATTTTTACATTGCATATAATTAAATCTGTGAACAAAACATCGCCGATTTAAAATATAACAAACATAAACTAACACCGGGGAACCCATTAACCTTCTTCTAATACAATGTGTCAGCATTTTATTGGCTCGGCTTTCCGCACGGGGGTCACACCTTTAACCCTCATGACATCGACAAACGAGCTAAAGTCTCAAATCAATCCACAACTTGCAACAGGAGTGGATAATTCGCCCCCTCCAATTGCCTCCGAAAATATGCCTGAACGAGCGAATTTAGAGACATCTTGATCATCTAATGAGACTACAAGAAGCCAGTTCTGAGCCATCTTCTCCCTCGAAGGTAGTGTGTTTGTATTTCTATACTGAAAGGTAGGCACATTCTGGCATCGGATCTCCCGGCATAATAAACAGCTTTTCGCACGTCGTGTTGGCGCACGTTTTGAAAAAAATAATAGTCGTGCTAAAAAAAAACACGAAAAAAAACACCCAAACGCACCCAACAAAACCAAACCAAAAAATCCCTCCCCAGAACAAAACTTCATTCTTGCCAGAGAGCCAGGACATGTACTTTGATACAGGGGGAAACCGGACTATGAACTTCTAGATGTTTTACACCCCCATCAACACGACTTAGAACATTCAGAAGGCGGGAAGCTTCGACCTGCTTATCAAGGGAGAGGGAGAAAGAGAGAGAGAGAGAGAGAGA